GAAGCTAAGAAGATGTGACCTACTGGTGACTTAAGGCAATGTGAAAGTACACTAACTGATCGTATATTTAAGTTTCAGATGATTCGGTCGAGTAATTCATCAATACTGTTTTTAGAAACCTTTCCTGATGAAATTCTTGTATTAATCTGTCGTTATTTATCATCGATCGATATTCTTTATTCATTTTATGGGTTAAACACTCGATTAAATAGAACGATTAGTGAAACTTATTGCCATTTATTTCTCGGAGAAGTTTCATACCAACGACTGAAACATATTTCTTCATCAATTATTCCTCAAATAGGATATAATATACGTACATTAACGATAAGTAATCAATTGACAGAAAACGTATCAAAACTATTTCTTGTACATTTTGGTCAGCAGATATCTGTAATATTTTCACGCTTAAAATGCTTAACACTTACTGAATTGACTACTGATGTGTTGTCATCAATTATTGATAATTTGACCAATTTGACAGATTTAACTCAATTAAATATATATTCTTTAAATCGAAGAAATATTAATGTGGATGGAATACAAATATTACTAGACAAAATGTTTTCTGCCAATAATTCTCGATTGGATGCAATTTCTTATGATCGTGACTCGATACCGTTGACTATTATCGATCAAAATAATCCTTCAATATATTCAAATATAAAAAAATTAGAAATTTTTCTCGAACGATTAAATGATCTTCATCATTTATTAACTCGTTTACCACAAATTCAAATAATTCATGGCATTCTTCAGTATGAATCATCAGAATTTAATTATACAAAACAATATTCTTCTGTTGAAAGCCTTATTGAACTAAAGTTATTATCGTTAGGATATTCATTTAATTTCCACGAACTTTTATCTGTTTTAAATCGAACAACAAATATTGAAACACTTGCAATTAAAATCGATAATACAGATGATTTCCATTTAATTAATGGGATCCATTTCAAATCTTATTTATCATCATTACGTTTAAAACAATTTCATTATTTAGTTAATTATACATCAGATTCTCCTATTAATCGAAAAGAAATTCTTTCAACATGGAAACAATTTCCTCAACAATTCGATTGTCTTATAAGTGATGATCAAAATAAACTTATTTTATATACAATACCTATCAATTTTTCACATTTGGCTATTATGAGCGCATTCCTCAAGAATCTACTTTCTGTCCAGAATAATTTCGATAGAATCCAATCTTTAACGTTGTATGGAGCACCTAATTTAATTTCTGAAGTATTTCCTATATTATTAAAATGTAGAAAAGTTAAATATTTAGTTTTTGAAGGCGATGGTGAACTTATTTTAAGTATGTAATTGCCAAAAAAAGAAATTTATGATATTTTATGTTGTTTTTTTTAGAATCTGAGAAAGAAAATCGTTTATGTGAACTTAATCATCTGACTCATTTGTCATTAATAAGATCATCAATTGAATCAAAATCTTCCCAAGAATTATTTCAGTCATCGCCTAATCTGTTTGATTTGAATGTACATTTCAAATCCCTTCATTCATTACTCGAACAACAATCGATTATTCATTTGTTAGAAGCGCGAATTACTCATTTATATATTTTTATAATATATTCTGATGACTTTGAACAAGTGAGAACAACTGTATCTCGTCTTTCTGCAGTATTCAAACGTCTTAAACATCTTTATATAAATAAGCGTATGAATGATGGGAGTTTCCAATCATTAATCGTACCTATATTCAATCAATTAACGCAATGGTCTTCTCTGATATCATTGGAAATATTTGGTTTGTCAGACAAACTCCAAGATGATATTCGTCAATGGCTTCGTAACAATTCACCATTCAATGAGCCAGATTCATTTATAAGTGATTATCCTAAGCGAACATGTAAATTATGGCTTTGACTCCTTAACAGATAATCAACTGTGATTTCCGAAAATGAAATGTTCTTATTATATTATAAACTATTTTTTCTTAGAATACTCATTCTTTCGGTAGTTCATTTTTCCCTGTAAAGACTCTGGGAATTTACGAGGATCTGGCCTTCAAAATCACTAATGTGTTCGTCATTTCGTTCTCTCCTAAAACGAAATACCTATTCATCACATTCATAACAATTTTACTTTCGTTCATCTGTTCATACTTTCGTTTTACTTTATTTCCATCTGTATTTGAGACAAAAACAAAGTTTTCAATATCTTCTAACAAAAAAACTTCGAAAACTTCTTTCGCGATATTCAAGAAACAGAAGAACAGCGAAGTAAAAGACTACGGCTAGAACGTGAATTGAAAAGACTGCAAAGACCGGTAAGACATAACTCAAAAATTCATTTTTTCACTGATCCTATACACTGTTGAATGATAACATTGTTGCTCATACGTTTCACAATGAATTGGAGAGCGGATTGACTGATGATAGTGAAACCATGCGTCATACCGAACAAAATGAAGAGCCTAGGGTCTGTCCGACCGCAAATAATCCAATTTGTCTGTCTGTCTGTCCGCAACATATTTTGAATCCCAACCTAAAGCTGACTTTCTGAGCATCGCGCTTCTTCTTTCTTAGATTTTAAAATCTTTTCTCTCTTGATTGACGGTTTTCGCGCTTTTTGACTTACTTCTTAGCTTG